TTTTATTATAAAGTTAAGATCAAGCAGTTAGGATTGGGTTAGGTTAGGTTAGGCAGGTTGAGTTAAGGTGGTTAGGTTAGGGTAGGTTAGGTTAGGGGGGTTGGAGGTTGGGAGTAGGTTAGAGTTGTTAGGTTGGGGTGGGTTAGGTTAGGGCGGGTTGGGTTAGGGTGGGTTAGGTTGGGTGGGGGTTGGGGTGGTTGGGTGTTGGGTTAGGGTAGGTTAGGTTAGGGTGGTTTGGGTTAGGGCAGGTTGGTTGGGGCAGGTTGGGTTGGGGTGGGTTAGGTTAGGGTAGGTTGGGTTGGGGTGGGTTGGGATGGGTTAGGTTAGGTTGGGTTTAGGTTTGGGTTGGGGTGGGTTGGGTTAGGGCAGGTTGGGTTGGGGGTGGAGTTGGGTTAGGGGTGGGTTGGGTTAGGGTGGGTTGGTTAGGCGGGTTAGGTTGGGGTGGGTTGGGTTGGGGTTGGGGTGGGTGGGTTAGGGTGGGTTAGGTTAGGTTGGGTTAGGGTGGTGGGTTGGGGTGGGTTGGGTTGTTGGGTTGGGTAGGTTAGGGTGGGTTAGGATGGGTTAGGTTAGGTTGGGTTGGGTTGGGTTAGGGTAGGTTAGGGTAGGTTGGGTTAGGGTGGGTTAGGTTGGGTTAGGTTGGGTTGGGGTGTAATGGTTTGACTTACGAGGATTTTTGGTCTGTCTGTCTGCCTGTCTGCATGTCCCCTTTGTGTGTGTGTGTGTGGTGAAACAAGATGGTGTGTGTGCAGAATTCTCTCTCTCTCTCTCTCTCTCTCTCTCTCTCTCTCTCTCTCTCTCTCTCTCTCTCTCTCTCTCTCTCTCCAATAGATAACAATCTATTTCTTAATCTTCCCAAGAAAGGTAAATTAGATATATATTTTTGCAGGTAACAATGAATGTGTGTGTGTGTGTGTGTGTGTGTGTGTGTGTGTGTGTGTGTGTGTGTGTGTGTGTGTGTGTGTGTGTGTGTGTGTGTGTGTGTGTGTGTGTGCTCCTCAGACTACTCCAGGTAAAACAATAAAACAAATAACAATAAAATTCATATGTGTTTAAATCCCTATTTTAAATCCGTCTCGAGGATTACCCAACTCTTCTCTGGGGAATTCGAACGCGTGTTATAAATCCTCTTCTCGTCTCTTCTCTTCTCCTCTATTCTCGTCTCTTCTTCTCTTCTCTTCTCGTCTCTTCTCTCCTCTCTTCTCTTCTTTTCTCTTCTCTTCTCTTCTCCTCTCTTCTCTTCTCTTCTCTTCTCTTCTCTTCTCCTCTCTTCTCCTCTCTTCTCTTTTTGTCTCTTCTCCTCCACCTCTCTTCTCTTCTTATGCTTTTCTCCTCTCTTCTTTCTCTTCTCTTTTTCTTCTCTTCTTTTCTTTCTCTTCTCTTTCTTCTTCTCTTTTCTATTCTCGTCTCTTTCTCTCTTTTCTTTTCTTCTCTTCTTCTTCTTTTTCTTCTCTTCTCTTCTCTTCTCTTTCTTCTCTTCTTCTTTCTCTTCTCTTCTCTTCTTTTCTCTTTCTCCTCTCTTTCTCTTCTTCTCTTCTCCTCTCTTCTCTTCTCTTCTCTTCTATTTTTCTCTTCTCTTTCTCTTTTTCTTTCTCCTCTCTTCTCTTCTCTTCTCTTCTCTTCTATTCTCGTCTCTTTCTCTCTCTCTTCTCTTCTCTTCTCTTCTCTTCTCTTCTCTTCTCTTCTCTTCTCTACGTGACCTGTGTAGTACCCTGGGAGTCGGTTACAGGGGAGAGGTCAGGGGTCAAGAGGTCAAGCTACAGAGGCAGGTATTAATGACGTCAAGATGAGGTCAATTTAGACAGGATTTTAAATTTATCTTCATGGTTAAATTTGTTGAATGGAAGGATTACTGAAGGCAAGGTTCTCTCTTAAGTGATGTTAGTTTGTTAAATTCTACCACATCCTGTTAAATTCTGCCACATCCTGTTAAATTTTGCCACATCTTGTTAAATTCTGCCACAACCTGTTAAATTCTGCCACATCCTGTTAAATTTTCTCACATCTTGTTAAATTCTGCCACAACCTGTTAAATTTTGCCACAACCTGTTAAATTTTGCCACAACCTGTTAAATTTTGCCACAACCTGTTAAATTCTGCCACATCCTGTTAAATTCTGCCATAACCTGTTAAATTCTGCCACATCCTGTTAAATTCTGCAACATCTTGTTAAATTCTGCCATAACCTGTTAAATTCTGCCACATCCTGTTAAATTCTGCCATAACCTGTTAAATTCTGACATCCTGTTAAATTCTGCCATAACTTAAATTCTGCCACATCCTGTTAAATTCTGCCAACATCCTGTTAAATTCATCTGTCCCGACACACAACGGGCGGACCATAACAACAGTAGATGTACACTATGCATCAGCTGGCAGCGTCACACTAGGGATGTGTGGCTCACCTGTTAACGTCACACTAGGGATGATTTGGCTCACCTGGCAGCGTCACACTGGGGATGATGTGCTCACCTGGCAGCGTCACTGGGGATGATGTGGCTCACCTGCGGTCACACTGGGGATATGGGTCACCTGGCAGCGTCACACTGGGGATGATGTACCACCTGGCAGCGTCACACTAGGGGATGTGTGGCTCACCTGGCAGCGTGACCACTAGGGGATGATGTGGCTCACCTGGCAGCGTCACCGGAATGGCCACCTTACTAGGGATGATGTGGCTCACCTGGCAGCGTCACACTAGGGGATGATGTGGCTCACCTGGCAGCGTCACTGGGGATGATGTGGCTCACCTGGCAGCGTCACACTAGGGGATGATGTGGCTCACCTGGCAGCGTCACACTAGGGATGATGTGGCTCACCTGGCAGCGTCACACTAGGGGATAATGTGGCTCACCTGGCCACCTCTGTTTACACTGCTTCATGTAAACACTGACAACACGACCTCACCCCCGGAACTCTTAGCCAATCCCCTCCTTCCTCCTCCTTAATCCTTCTCCCTCCTTCCTCCTCCTCCTCCTTCCTCCTCCTTTAATCCTTCTCTTCCCTCCCTTCCTCCTCCCTAATCCTTCTCCTCCTTCCCTCCTCCTTTAATCCTTCTCCTCCCTCTCCCTCCTTCCTCCTCCTTAATCCTTCTCCTCCTTCCTCCTCTTTAATCCTTCTCCTCCTTCCTCTCCTTAATCCTTCTCCCTTCTTCTCCAATCCTTTTCTCCTCCCTCCCTCCTCCTCCTCATCCTTTCCCTCCTCCCTCTCCTAGGTGTGTGTGTGTGTGTGTGTGTGTGTGTGTGTGTGTGTGTGTGTACCTCTACCTTACCTACCTGCTCCTACACAATTACCACACCTGTCAACTCTCAGACGAACACCTCTCTTACCTGCTCCTCCCTCTCTCCAACTTTTTCCTTCTCCCTCTCCTCTTCCCCTCCCCTCTCCCTCACCCACCTATATTGAAGTGGCAATATTTCTGTCTGTCTGTCTGTCTGTCTGTCTGTCTCTCTGTCTGTCTGTCTAATGAGTTTTTGTCGTCTTGTTATTGACTGAAGGATGATTAGCCTGTGTGTGTGTGTTAGTGTGTGTGTGTGTGTGTGTGTGTGTGTGTGTGTGTGTGACGGTGGACAGACACAGGTGTAAATATTTGAACACAGTGGCTGACCCGGTGATGGATCCCGATCTCTCCTCTCTCTCTCTCTCCGCTCACTTTACCTTCTTCACTCTTTTCCCTTTCACCTTCAGTAGCGAGAAAAGGTAAGAAGTCAAGAAGAAGTGAGGGCGAGGGAGAGAGAAGAAGAGATGAAGGAGAAAAGAAAGATAATAGAGCGAAAGAATAAGAGTGAGAGGGAGAAAGAAGGATAAAAGTGGATAGAACGAGGGGGAAAGAGGGAGAATGGTGGAGAGAGATTATGACGGAGAGGTGAAGGGACATGCTGTTGGGGAAGGAGGGAGGAAGGAGAGACGCTGTTGGAAGGAGGGAGGAAGGGAGGGGGTTGGGAGGAAGGAGAGACGTGGAGAAGGAGAAGGACGGTGGAGAGGGAGAAGGAGACGCGTTGGAGAAGCGGTTGAAGAGGGAGGAAGGAGACGCCGTTGAGAAGAGGAGGAAGGAGACGCGTTGGAGGGAGGAGGAAGGAGAGACGCGTTGAGGGGAGAAGGAGAGAGTTGAAGGGGAGAGACGGTTGAGAAGGAGGAGGAAGGGAGAACGCTGTTGGAGAAGGAGGGAGGAAGGAGAGCGCGTTGGAGAAGGAGGAGGAAGGAGAGAGTTGGAGGGAGGAGAGACGCGTGGAGAAGGAGGGAGAAGGAGAGCGTTGGAAGGGAGGGAAGGGCGCGTTGGAGAAGGAGGGAGAAGGAGAGACGCGTGGAGAAGGAGGGAGGAAGGGAGAGACGCCGTTGGAGAAGGAGGGAGGAAGGGAGGGACGCTGTTGGAGAAGGAGGAGGAAGGAGAGACGCCGTTGGAGAAGGAGGGAGGAAGGAGAACGCCGTTGGAGAAGAGGGGGAGGAGGAAGGGAGAGACGCCGTTGGAGAAGGAGGGAGGAAGGGAGAGACGCTGTTGGAGAAGAGGAAGGAGAGGTGGAGAAGGAGGGAGGAAGGGAGACGCGTGGAGAAGAGGAGAGAAGCGGGAAGGAGGGAGGAAGGAGACGCCGTTGGAGAAGGAGGAGGAAGGGAGAGACGCCGTTGGAGAAGGAGGGAGGAAGGGAGAGACGCTGTTGGAGAAGGGGAAGGAGAGCGCCGCTGAGGAGAGGGATGAGGAGGGAGGGAATCAGTGTTAGGGAGGAAGGGAGGCAAGGGAGGACAAGCCGTGGGTGGGAAGGAGGGAGGAAGGAGAGACACGCCGCTGGAGAAGGAGGGAGAACACGCTTTTGGCGGGGGAGGAGGGGGGGGGAGACATAAAGGACGGTTGTTGCTATGTACAAACACTGTCTTCCATGGAGGGCGTGGCCACTACCGGGGGCCAGGTGGACAGGTAGACACGGAAACGGGCCCAGGTAGATATGGGGATGGTGTGTGTGTGTGTGTGTGTGTGTGTGTGTGTGTGTGTGTGTGTGTGTGTGTGTGTTTCACGAATGGCAAACCTTGAACTCCGAGGCTGCCAATATTTCAGGAGACAGCGTGTTTAAATTATCACTAACATGTGGCAGGTCGAGGCTTCCTTGAATTTGGCTGGTCAGGGCTTCCTTGTGTCTGGCTGGTCGAGGCTTCCTTGTGTCTGGCTGGTCGAGGCTTCCTTGTGTCTGGCTGGTCGAGGCTTCCTGTGTCTCTGGCTGGTCGAGGCTTCCTTTTGTGTCTGGCTGGTCGAGGCTTCCTTGTGTCTGGCTGGTCGAGGCTTCTTGTGTCTGGCTGGTCGAGGCTTCCTTGTGTCTGGCTGGTCGAGGCTTCCTTGTGTCTGGCTGGTCGAGGCTTCCTTGTGTCTCTGGCTGGTCGAGGCTTCCTTGTGTCTGGCTGGTCAGGGGCTTCCTTGTGTCTGGCTGGTCGAGCTTCCTTGTGTCTGGCTGGTCGAGGCTTCCTTGTGTCTGGCTGGTCGAGGCTTCCTTGTGTCTGGCTGGTCGAGGCTTCCTTGTGTCTCTGGCTGGTCGAGGCTTCCTTGTGTCTGGCTGGTCGAGGCTTCCTTTGTGTCTGGCTGGTCGGGGCTTCCTTGTGTCTGGCTGGTCGAGGCTTCCTTGTGTCTCTGGCTGGTCGAGGCTTCCTTGTGTCTGGCTGGTCGAGGCTTCCTTGTGTCTGGCTGGTCGAGGCTTCCTTGTGTCTGGCTGGTCAGAGGCTTCCTTGTGTCTGGCTGGTCGAGGCTTCCTTGTGTCTGGCTGGTCGAGGCTTCCTTGTGTCTGGCTGGTCGAGGCTTCCTTGTGTCTGGCTGGTCGAGGCTTCCTTGTGTCTGGCTGGTCGAGGCTTCCTTGTGTCTGGCTGGTCGAGGCTTCCTTTGTGTCTGGCTGGTCGAGGCTTCGTCTGGCTGGTCGAGGCTTCCTTGTGTCTGGCTGGTCGAGGCTTCCTTTGTGTCTGGCTGGTCGAGGCTTCCTTGTGTCTGGCTGGTCGAGGCTTCCTTGTGTCTGGCTGGTCGAGGCTTCCTTGTGTCTGGCTGGTCGAGGCTTCCTTGTGTCTGGCTGGTCGAGGCTTCCTTTGTGTGTCTGGCTGGTCGAGGCTTCCTTTGTGTCTGCTGGTCGAGGCTTCCTTGTGTCTGGCTGGTCGAGGCTTCCTTGTGTCTGGCTGGTCGAGGCTTCCTTGTGTCTGGCTGGTCGAGGCTTCCTTTGTGTCTGGCTGGTCGAGGCTTCCTTTGTGTCTGGCTGGTCGAGGCTTCCTTGTGTCTGGCTGGTCGAGGCTTCCTTGTGTCTGGCTGGTCGAGGCTTCCTTGTGTCTGGCTGGTCGAGGCTTCCTTTCTTTGTGTCTGGCTGGTCGAGGCTTCCTTTGTGTCTGGCTGGTCGAGGCTTCCTTTGTGTCTGGCTGGTCGAGGCTTCCTTTGTGTCTGGCTGGTCGAGGCTTCCTTGTGTCTGGCTGGTCGAGGCTTCCTTGTGTCTGGCTGGTCGAGGCTTCCTTTGTGTCTGGCTGGTCGAGGCCTTGTGTCTGGCTGGTCGAGGCTTTGTGTCTGGCTGGTCGAGGCTTCCTTGTGTCTGGCTGGTCGAGGCCTTTGTGTCTGGCTGGTCGAGGCTTCCTTGTGTCTGGCTGGTCGAGTTCCTTGTGTCTGGCTGGTCGAGGCTTCCTTGTGTCTGGCTGGTCGAGGCTTCCTTGTGTCTGGCTGGTCGAGGCTTCCTGTGTCTGGCTGGTCGAGGCTTCCTTGTGTCTGGCTGGTCGAGGCTTCCTTGTGTCTGGCTGGTCGAGGCTTCCTTGTGTCTGGCTGGTCGAGGCTTCCTTGTGTCTGGCTGGTCGAGGCTTCCTTGTGTCTGGCTGGTCGAGGCTTCCTTGTGTCTGGCTGGTCGAGGCTTCTTTTGTGTCTGGCTGGTCGAGGCTTCCTTTGTGTCTGGCTGGTCGAGGCTTCCTTGTGTCTGGCTGGTCGAGGCTTCCTTGTGTCTGGCTGGTCGAGGCTTCCTGTGTCTGGCTGGTCGAGGCTTCCTTTGTGTCTGGCTGGTCGAGGCTTCCTTGTGTCTGGCTGGTCGAGGCTTCCTTGTGTCTGGCTGGTCGAGGCTTCCTTGTGTCTGGCTGGTCGAGGCTTCCTTTGTGTCTGGCTGGTCGAGGCTTTGTGTCTGGCTGGTCGAGGCTTCCTTTGTGTCTGGCTGGTCGAGGCTCCTTGTGTCTGGCTGGTCGAGGCTTCCTTGTGTCTGGCTGGTCGAGGCTTCCTTGTGTCTGGCTGGTCGAGGCTTCCTTTGTGTCTGGCTGGTCGAGGCTTCCTTGTGTCTGGCTGGTCGAGGCTTCCTTGTGTCTGGCTGGTCGAGGCTTCCTTGTGTCTGGCTGGTCGAGGCTTCCTTGTGTCTGGCTGGTCGAGGCTTCCTTGTGTCTGGCTGGTCGAGACAGACAGACAGACATACCAACAGACAGACAGAAACATATACATTTATTAAATTATTAGTGAGAAGGACAGACAACAAGGAGGGAGGGAGAGAGGGAGAGGGAGAGGGAGAGGGAGAGGGAGAGGGAGGGTGGGGCCCTGCCAGGAAGCAGTGGTGTGCGTGAATGAGTGGATAGCTCGGCTTCCCACTCCTCGGTATTATGTTATGTATGTATGTATGTATGTATGTATGTATGTATGTATGTATGTATGCTTGTTATTGTTGTCCTTCACGGGGATTGGTTGATGGGGATGAGGTGGGCGATGACGTCACAACTGGTGGAAAGCTGATTTTTTTTTTATCCCAGTATTAACAGTAACTTCATTGGTGTTCATGTGAGTCAAGCTTCCAACTTTTACCGTGATATTTTAAGCTTTAGTCAGCTATAAGAATTTTCTGGACTGACTGACTGACTGGGATAGGCAGACTAACTGTCAGATGTTTAGCGACAGTACAAAATCACAGTTAGTATAAACATGATGTGTGTTTACAGTTTAAGCTTCAGTAAACACTAAGCACATGTCTGGGTGTTAAGCTTAATTTAAACATTACAAACAGGATGTATATAATGTTTGTTTATGTGTTTATCTTAAGTAAACACAGTAAACATCGACCTTGTTTACTCTTTCAGGTGTTTAGTGGAGTTAAACACCTGAAACACATGAGTTAAATCACACGTTTCAGCGATCATTAGTGCCCAGGCTGAGTGCACGCGGCTAAACTGATGACTTATTGATGGCAACACTAGCCCGGCCTTTCTGACGTCACGGCGGGTGCCAGCTAGGAATTATAGATGATTTTCTGCTCAGTGGGGGAACGAGGTGGGTGGGAGGTGGGGGGGGTGAGGTGGGGTGAGGTGGGGTAGGGTGGGGTTATAATAGGGGTAATGTGATGGGGGTGATGGGAGAGAGGAGGATCAGGGGTAGAAGGAACGTAGATAAACAAAAAATGTAATGGGGAGTGATAAATGGTAATTGAGGAAGGAGAAAGCAGGAAATATAAAGAGAAAGAGAAGATGAGGTAAAGAGAAAATAAATGTATTGAGAGAGAGAGAGGGGGGGGGACACCTGTGTGTATAGTTCTCTAGCAGTAGTGGCGGACCTAGCAGTAATGGCGGCACTCTGAGTAGCACCGGCACTTGTAGCAGGTGGCGGCACCCAGCAGTAGTGTGGCGGCACTTCAGCAGTAGTGGCGGCACTCAGCAGTAGTGGCGGCACCTAGCAGTAGTGGCGGCACCAGCAGTAGTGGCGGCACCTAGCAGTGGCGGCACTTGGCAGTAGTGGCGGCACCTGGCAGTAATGGCGGCACCTAGCAGTAGTGGCGGCACTTGGCAGTTAGTGGCGGCACCTGGCAGTAGTGGCGGGCACCTAGCAGTAGTGGCGGCACCTAGCAGTAAGGCGGCACCTCAGCAGTAATGGCGGCACCCAGCAGTAGTGGCGGCACCCAGAGGCGCACGCAGTACGGCTAGCAGTAGCACCGGACTTGCAGAGTGGGGGGCACTACAGACGGCATTTGCAGTAGTGGCGGCACTAGCAGTAGTGGCGGCACTGAGTAGCTGGCAAGCAGTAGTGGCGGCTTTTAGTAGCACCGGCACTAGCAGTAGTGGCGGCATTAGCAGTACCGGCACCTAGCAGTAGTGGCGGCACCAGCAGTAGTGTGCATCCAGAGTAGCGGCACCTAGCAGTAGTGGCGGCACTGCAGTAACGGCACCTAGCAGTAGTGGCGGCAGCTTCAGCAGTAGTGGCGGCACCCCAGCAGTAGTGGCGGCACTTCAGCGGTAGTGGCGGCACCCAGAAGTGCACTGGCACCCAGCAGTAGTGGCGGCACCTGAGTAGTACCGGCACCTAGCAGTAGTGGCGACCAGGAGCGCACCGGCCTCAGCGTAGTGGCGCACGCAGTAGTGGCGGCACTAGGTAGACGGCACCTAGCAGTAGTGGCGGCACAGCAGACGGCATAGCAGTAGTGGGGCACTTCAGAGTAGGGCACTCAGCAGTAGTGGGGGCACCCAGCAGCAGTGGTGGCGGCACCCAGCAGTGGCGGCACCCAGAGCAGCACCGGCACCCGGCAATGGCGGCACCCAGCAGTAATGGCGGCACCCAGCAGTAGTGGCGGCACCTGAGCAGTACCGGCACTCAGCAGTAATGGCGGCACCTAGCAGTAATGGCGGCACCTTGGCAGTAGTGGCGGCACCCAGAAGTGGCACCGGCATAGCAGTAATGGCGGCACCTAGGCAGTAGTGGCGGCAATTTAGCAGCACTGGCACCGAGCAGTAGTGGCGGCACTTGGTAGTGGCGATTTGCAGTAGGGCACCGTAATGGCGGCACCGGCAGTAGTGGCGGCACCCAGTAGTGGCGGCACCTAGCAGCACCGGCACCAGCAGTAATGGCGGCACCGCAGTAGTGCGGCACTCCAGCAGTGGCGGCACCTGCAGTGGCGGCACCTCAGCAGTAGTGGCGGCACTTGGCAGCACCGGCACCTGGCAGTAGTGGCGGCACCAGCCGGCAGTAGTGGCGGCACTTGAGCAGTAGGCACCAGCGGCGGTAGGTGGCGGCACTTAGCAGTAGTGGCGGCACAAGGCGGACCGGCGTAGTAAGGCACTCAGCAGGGCGGCACCCAGAGTAGCGGTGGCACCAGCAGTAGGTGGCACCCAGCAGTAATGGCGGCACCTGGCAGTAGTGGCGGCACCGGTGCGCAGCAACGGTACCTGGCAGTGGTGGCGGCACCTAGAAGTATGGCGGCACTCAGCAGTAGTGGCGGCACTTCCAGCAGCAGCGGTGCCACCGGCGCGCACCTGGTAGCAGCACCGGCACCGGCAATGGCGGCACCAGCAGTGGGCCCAGCAGTAGTGGCGGCACTCCAGAGCAGTAACGGCACCAGCAGTAATGGCGGCACCAGCAGTAGGCGGCACCTAGCAGTAGTGGCGGCACCTCAGTAGTACCGGCACCCTGGCAGTAATGGCGGCACCCAGCAGTAGTGGCGGCACCCAGCAGTAGTGGCACCCCAGTAGTGGCGGCACCTGGCAGTAATGGCGGCACCTAGCAGTAGTGGCGGCACCTAGCAGTAGTGGCGGCACCAGCAGTAATGGCGGCACCCAGCAGTAGGCGGCACCCGGCAGTAGTGGCGGCACCGAAGCATGGTGGCACCCAGCAGTAGTGGCGGCACTCCAGCAGTAGTGGCGGCACTCAGAGCGGCACTCGAATGGCGGCACCAGAGCAGTGGGTGGGCGGCATTAGCAGTAATGGCGGCACCACAGTAGTGGCGGCACCTAGCAGTAGTGGCGGCACCTAGCAGTAGTGGTGGCTCCGACAAAAGTAGGCTATTCCCGCCTTAGACATCCCATGGCTGGTAAAATATTCATAGGCCTGCAAGGGAAGTATCCGCTCTCATTTACATTAAGACCAAAACCGTGATATTTTTTAAAGAATTTTTCGTGGGAGTTTAATATTATGAGTCTCGGTCCTAACCTAACCTAACCTAACCTAACCTAACTTAACCTAACTTAACCTAACCTAACCTAACCTAACCTAACTTAACTTTACCCGAGTATTTTACCTTTTATATAAACTTTAAGAAAATTTGGTTCCTACATATTTTAGTCTGTCCTCGAACCACTTAACGTTTTCTTTCATTATCTTGCAGTCATTATTGCCAGGAGGTGTAGGATAATGTAGTCACCACCCCTGCCCTCCTTTGCCCCCCTGTCCCCCCTTTGCCCCCCTGCCCCCCCCCTTTGCCTCCCCCTGCCCCCCCCCTTGTTGCGTGTGTCTGTCTGTCTGTCTGAATTTCTCTGACCACATAGATCTTCAGCACATAAGGTGACAGTGTGACACCCCCCAGAAGCGAACCATCTCCCCTTAGGTCGGGAAGTGAGTATCATGTCAACTCGACCACCGCACCCACAAACTCTGAATTACCTCTGATTGATTATCCTGATTAGCTCAAGGTCACAGTAAGGTTCGAGGTCATTTTAAGGATTGGATTGACCCGTGTGATTAGCAAGTGTCCCTAATTCCATCCAATCATAAGGCTGGTAAGATCCAATCAAATCGCACTTCACAAGATGATTATGTAAAGCTGATTATCAAACTCATTCAGGGTTACTAGAGGGATTGGATTGATTTGTGTGATGAGCAATATTGTCCCTAATCCCTATCCCCATCCCTAATCCCTAATCCTTCTTTAGATGGATATTTATACCTGACTAATCGTCCAGGTGAGAGCAGGCAGTCTCCAGCGTGACCTTACATTGAACAGGATGTCAGGGGGCGGGGGTGTTACCTGTGATTATGTGAATTTTCAGGTAAATATAGCTTCATTCTCACGACCACACCTGTGACGACCACACCTGTGATGACCACACCTGTCATGACCACACCTGAGATGTGGCCATACCTGTCACGATCACAGCTGTATAGATCATACGTGTCATAGCCACACCTGAGATGTGGCCATACCTGTCACGACCACACCTGTCACGATCACACCTGTCACGACCACACCTGTCATGACCACACTTAAGATACAACCACACCTTAGATACGACCACAGCTGAGATGTGACCATACCTGTTACGGCCACACTTGAGATACAACCACACCTGTCACGACCACACCTGACCATGACCGCACCTGAGATATGACCACACCTGTCATGACCACACCTGATACGACCACACCTAAGATGCGACCACACCTAAGATGCGATCACACCTGTCAACACCCAACCTCCTGAGTACAATAACTTAACCTCTTGAGTACGATGACTTAACCCCTTGAGTACGATGACTTAACCCCTTGAGTACGATGACTTAACCCCTTGAGTACGATAACAAACCCTTGAGTACGATAACTTAACCCCTTGAGTACGATGACTTAACCCCTTGAGTACGATGACTTAAGCCCTTGAGTACGATGACTTAACCCTTTGAGTACGATGACTTAACCCCTTGAGTACGATAACAAACCCTTGAGTACATATAATATTGACATAAGTGCAAGCGTTAAGTGACAACACGCATTAAAGTACTGACCAAACACTTCACCGCTGACACACTTACGAGAGAGTTATGTTCTACTGAGGGCCTCGGGCAATGCACTTAGAAACAGACACCGATACAACCGTGAATACAACAATACAACAACCTCCTCCCCACAAAAAAACAATATAGCCCCCTCATACCTCCCCTAATCAATACTCCTCATTATTACCTGACGTCACCCTCAACACCTACTCGACAACTTAAAGGTGTATACTTACCTGTCTAATAAATGTATACTTACCTGTCTAATAAAGGCTGTATACTTACCTGTCTAATAAAGGTTGTATACTTACCTGTCTAATAAAGGTGTATACTTACCTGTCTAATAAAGGTTGTTTACTCACCTGTCTTATAGTAATAGCAGTGTCGGGGTAAGTGGTACTTCCTAGTAACTTTCCTATTATTGTGTTGCGGAAAGTATTAAGAAATGCTTATAATAGTTTGGGTTTCTACCATCACGAAAGTATTCTCTAGGAAAGTTTGTTTGCTGGTGGGGGTGGGGGGGGTATGTGTTGTTATTGTTTGTTTGTTTGTGTGTTTAGTGTTTGCTGGTAATAAGAATCAAAGATTTTAACTACAGGCACTCTGCCTCCTCTCTCTCTCTCTCTCTCTCTCTCTCTCTCTCTCTGCGGAGGGACAGACAGAGAAGCCAATGTTAAGAAGATAGTGCAGCAGTTTTCTTCCCGTGTTTTTTACTGGGAGAAAAATAGGAATAATTTCTCTCGTATCTTGGCGCCGTCCACCTAGGGAGGGAAGGAAGGAAGGAAGGAAGGAAGGAAGGAAGGAAGGAAGGAAGGGAAGGAGGAAGGAAGGAAGGAAGGAAGGAAGGAAGGAAGGAAGGAAGGAAGGAAGGAAGGAAGGAAGGAAGGAAGGTGAAAAGGGATGGGAGGGAGGGATGGAAGGAAGGAAGGAGGAAAGGAGGGATGGATGGAAGGAAGGAAAGGAAGATGGGAGGGAGGGTGAGGAGAGAAGGAAGGGAGGGTGAGGAAGGAAATATAATGGGGGAGGGAGGGAAGAAATGAAGGATGAAGGAAGGGAGGGAGGGTGTGGAAAGGAGGAGGAAGGGAGGGAGAGTTTCAGCGTCATTCACTCAGTCAGTCAGTCAGTCAATCACTCATTCATTCATTCATTCATTCATTCAGTCTCTCTCTCTCTCTCTCTCTCTCTCTCTCTCTCTCTCTTCTCCTTCTTCCACTCACTCCCTCGTCTTCCTCTTCCTTATCCTCCTTCCTCCCCCTCTCCCTCGCTGCTCTTGGGATAAGCCACACTTGCTGACAGCCAAACGTGGAACTAACCTAGCGTGAAGGACAGCTGGATAAAGATGGAGTGGGGAGAGAGAGAGAGAGCTAACACATTTTTCGTCTTCAATAAATCAGAGGCTTGGCCACAGAGACAATAATCATCTTGTTCACCAAATAACACAAGAACGGGAAGATATACAGTGTTTATACTTGGTCAACACGTTCTTCATAACAACCTCTCGAGCTGATTTAATTTAGAGGTCAATAGGTCAAAGGTTAAGGTTACAAGTAGGGGAAAGGCTTCACCCCCTCGTGGGCAATCAAAAAAAAATC